ACATATCAACATTATTGTCAGTTTTCTCAAACTAGATCAATTTACAAAGGAAAGAATCACCCCCAAATTATATATTTTCTCCCATATTCAAGCTCTCGGCTTCTGTGAACCTACTTCCACTCCTTCCTCTCATTTCTATAAGGTAGAAACATAACTTTTTTTTTTTTTTTTAAAGAGAGAGAGAGAGAGAGGGACAGTGAGAGGGAGAATCAGACTCCCCCCTGAGCAGTGAGCCCAATGCAGCACTTGATCCCAGCACTAGATTAAGCACCTGAGCAAGAGGCAGATGCTTAATCAACTGAGCCACCCAGGAGCCCCAGAAATGTAACTTTTATCATTCACATGGTCCAATCAGCATTGGCAGAAGGGATATTAGAGATGCAGGGGTCTGAGAAAAATGCCTGCAGGGGGAATGAGGTTCTCAGATATGTTTTGCTAACCAAGTATGGGAGGAAGAGAGAAGAAAAAGAAATTTGAATGTTTTAGTTTTTTTTAAGATTTGTTTATTTGAGAGAGAATGCATGTGAGTGGGCCTATGGGCATGAGGAGAAGGAAGGAGGATCTCAAGCTGACTCCCCGCTAAGCATGGAGCCAACATGGGGTTCAATCTCACAACCCTGAGATCATGACCTGCGTTGAAACCAAGAATCAGAAGCTTCACCGACTGAGCACCCAGGCGCCCCAGAAATTGGAATGTTTTTACAAAAAGCATAAACTGCCCAGTTTGGCCATAAGCCTTGTGTCTTCCGTAGACTCCACCACATGTTTTGTCACCTGCTTGGGTCCTAAAGGCAGTAATTCTGTCACCTCCTGCAAACTTTTCCTTTTACAGACGAGGGAACATGAATCTAAGAACAGTTTACTAACTCACTTAAGGTGACACCAATGGTTATCAGCAAAGCCACAGTAGGGTTTCAGGGACTGGGCTCCTAGTTCTACATCCTCCACTTGGACTCCACCAAACTCTTTTGCAAATTCAGTCTAGAGCCTAGAATACAAAAATGTTGAAAGAAAAAGAGGAACTAGCTTACAAAATGTGTCTAGAAAAGAATGATGTATTCTTGTCCCAATCTAAGTTTGTTCCAGATTTCTTTATGCCCACTTAGCCAAGGGTGGCTAGGAACTAGGTGAATAGGGGAGTCATGGACACAGTGTTGTTGATACAACTGTATCCACAGCCAACACTGCAGCAAGACACTGGACATGATTCTGGTATTAAGAATGGAACACTGCTTTTCTAACAAGTTCTCTTCTTTCTATTATCACATCTCTATGTTCAGGGCACAGATCTTTAAAAAGCCCGGATTCCCTTCTACAATGGCTTTTCTGACCCTTTCTTGGCTATATACTAGCTTTACCTCAAGGCCTCTGTACGATGACGTGTTGGATTTAAATGAGAGAAAGGTATTTGCTACACTCTCCAGTTCCCAAGATTGTTCTCAGTCATTCTGTGGGTCTTGAATGCTAGCTGCCTACATTCACCACAAAGAGAATGAACACCTAATCATACTGCCAGGAGACCTCCCAAGTCACTTCTACTTCTAGATGAAATTTCATGATTCCCAGGGTACTTGGGATACTTTCTCCACACTGGAAACTTTCAGATCATCTACTGGGAAGCAATAATATTACAGATCTGTGGGGCAATGAAGCCTTCTCTTTTTGTCAGAATACTTACTTTGAAGGACAGTCAGTAAATCTAATTTCTTGCAATGAGGGCACAAACAATCCAAAGCAAGAGAGACCCTTAGAGGGGATAGAGTGAATACATCTGGAAAGTGTGAGGAAGGAAAGGACGACAGGAGAATGTGGAGTCTGTCAATGGGATCCCTCTTTCCACGGCTGTTCTGGGAGCATGGCTGTTCTAGGATCACAAGTCAAGAATAGACAAGATTCCTACTCCAGTTTTAAAGGAAAGCAAGAGGCAGCCCAGGTGGCTGAGCAGTTTAGCTCCGCCTTCAGCCCAGGGCCTGATCTTGGAGACCCCAGATCGAGTCCCATGTCAAGCTCCCTGCATGGAGCCTGCTTCTGCCTCTGCCTGTGTCTCTGCCTCTCTCTCTCTCTGTCTCTCATGAATAAATAAATAAAGTCTTAAAAAAATAATAAAAGAAAGCAAGCAGGGTGCCTGGGTTGGTTAAGCTTCCAACTCTTGGTTACAGAGCAGGTTGTGATCTCAAGGTCATGATCTCAGGGTCATGAGACTGAGCCCCTTATCAGGCTCTGCATTCAGCACAGAGTCTGCTTGAAATTCCCTCCCTCTGCCCCGCCAACCTCTCAAATAAACAAATCTTAAAAAAAAAAAAGGCAGCTTTGATTCTGCCTTTCAAATCAGAGCTTCAAATTCTAAAATACTATATAACATTACCTAAAATTACATTTAAAGTAATGAGGAAGGGACACCTGGGTGGCTCAGCGGTTTAGTGTCTGCCTTCAGCCCAGGGTATGATCCTGGAGTCCTGGGATCGAGTCCCGCATCGGGCTCCCTGCATAGAACCTGCTTCTCCCTCTGCCTGTGTCTCTGCCTCTCTCTCTCTCTCTCTCATGAATAAATAAAACCTTTTTTAAAAAATAAAGTAATGGGGAAAAGCTACAAAAATGAGGGACTAGCAAAGAAAATTGTGAAAGCATCTTGCATTTTTATACTGTACTTCCTGGCTAAATATAAATGAAGGGATATTAATAATAATTACACATACAGTTATTTAGGAACCAGAGGAGTAACACATGAGGAAAGACCAAGAATACTTACTAGCCTTTCTTTAAGCATGAACTAGGCAAAACATTTTGTGGCCGTAATGGCAGATAGACAAAACCAAAACAAAAGAACCTCAAATTACGTTTTATCTGATTGTATCGTAACACAATTCTCAAGTCATTAGGCGCAAACACTTAAAATAATGAAGTTCTACATGTAAAATAATGCCACCATACTTTGTTATTAAGAAACACAAATTTTTAACTCTAAAGGGAATTATCTTAATTAAAAGGGCTAATTTATACATGTGAAGCAAAGAACTTCTGATTGTGCTTTCATTCAGGATTAGCTGTTTCCTTCCATAAGCTGTTATATAAACTAAATAAACATAAAAGTTAGAATGCTACTAAATAAATAGTAAGTCCTGACAACCCATAAAAAATTTCAGGTTCAATTTCCTTATTCATTGTTAAAACCATCAATAAAAAAAAAACTTTTTTTTCTCTGCTTCATGTTTGCTTTTGATTATATGTTTTTACAATCCTGTATTATGCTACACTTAAAATTTATTTTAAAATGTATCATCTTTTAACAAAAACTCTCCACTCTATATAATTATTGAAAGCAGCATTTTCTTGAAATTAACCACTTTATTGTAGTAAAAAGCCCAATATTAAGCCTCACTGCTTACATAAAGGTTCAAAATAAGGTAAAAGAGGAGCAGCATTAGCAAAAACTTATGACAGAAAACAAATTTTTACCAGCCTTGAAAATCACTCATTATCATTGTGCACAGCATTTATCTTGCTTTCAAACGAAAAGTTAGAAATGGTTATTTCTGTATCTAACAGCTCTTGAAGTATCAGTAGGCTGATGAAAGTATTCATCAAGACCAATTATTTTACTCCTGCAGTTTGAGTATTGAGAATGTTGACAGTTTAGAACACTGTTGACAGATGGAAACAATACAGAATAATGCTTACAAAATCTACAGTCTCTAAAAGATAAACTTTCTAATCTCCTTGAAAAATCTTTAAGTACCAATTATAAATAGCAGCTGACATTTGAGTGCTCCTTATGTGCCAAGCACTGATCTTTACCCTCATTCTCTATCATAGTAATCTGCAATTATTTTATCATCTTTCTCCTCCTAACTAATCCAGAGGCTCCCTGGGGACAGGGACTCTACTTCATTGCATCCCCCAACACCTCGCATGCCTTACACATAGTAGGCACCACATGTTTAAATGATTCATTGTTCCAAACACTTTCAATAATTGTCTAAAAATGGTTGGTCAATGATCTAGAGGGCTAAGAAAATGCAAAACAATAGAGTGTATTTTATTTAGTAGAATATTCTTCAGTGAAATTTTTACATGTATATGTCCCATATAAAATGTATTTCTTACGAAGGGGTAACAGCAAAAAAAAAAAAAAAAAGCTGGAAAGCTTTACATGGATTATTTCATTTGCTCCTCATTAATAACCCTGTAGCTGACATAACTTCCTACTTAAAAATAACAAGACTGAGGTTTCCAGATGGCATATATGATGTCCAAAATGACAGATCTATAAGTACGACCATCACTTCTATAAAGTCTCACTCATAAGGAGCCATATTAAGAAAATGTGAATTAACTAAATAAGGTTCCGGTAATAATAATTGCGACATGATTAATAAAGAAAAAAAAATTTTTTTTTATTTTTTAAAAAGAAAAAAAAAAAAAGGCTTTTAAGGCTGTCAGCCCTGAATACCGGGCTGTGCCACTAACCAGCTGTGCGGACTCTGGCCGAACTTAACATCTTTGCACCTTGATTTCTCCACGTGTAAAAGAGGGATATTCATAACGTTGCTGTGAGTTTTAACTTCTCTTGATGTATGTAAATAGCTTAGACCACTAAGTTGAAGCTGCTGCGATTAAAATAATTAGTATTTCCTTCTTCCTGGTCCGCTAGGTCACATTCAGCCCACTACACCACAATGCGAATGTGTAAAAAGCGTGAGTCAGGAATTTACTGGACAGGAAGTGGGCAGGAGTGGGGGAGAGCCACCCACGAGTTTCTGCCGGCCTTGGGTGACAAAGATGCTTCAGTCGAGCTCGGGGGTCGGTTCAGGTAGGTCACTATGGGAATCAAGGGAAACAACACTGCTTAACCGTAAAGACAAACACAAACTACTTCATCTTTCCTCAAGGTTCACAGCACCATCCATCTTCTTCCTCTGTGTCCTGGCGGGGGCTGAACCGGGGTGTGAGGAAACGCACCTGGGCAGCCCCCGCCCACGCAGAGGTTCGGCGCAACTCACCCCGGAGACTCCGTTGATACTGCCCCAGAATCTCCTCCAGGGTAGAGTTCTCCGGGGACTTCGCCATGCACAGAGTCGGGGCCCAGGGATGGGAGTTACGTAGGGAAGTGTCCAGTGTCGCCCCTCGGGGAGCAAGAGGCCTCGGCGCCGGGGAAGCACCCGCCCGCTTCCGGCCGCCGCTGTCACTGGGGGAGCAGGGAACCCCGGACGGAGCTCGCAGGGGGCCCTGCCCACCCAGTGGCCCTCTTGGTGGACGTCGGGAATTGTAGTTCGCAGACTGCTGGCCTGCAGTCACGAGGCTCCTAAACTACCCCTCCGACTGTACTACAATTCCCGGAGGACATCGCGCTAAAAGCTTTGGCGGTTTGGCGGCCAGATCCGGTTGCCAAGAGACTGCTCGGAGGCTGGCTGAGTCCTGCCTTTATCCCACCCTGCGGTTTGGACCACCCAACTGACGGAGGCCTTGACTCTTTTCCAAGTTTGCTAGTTTTCGGTTGGTCCTTGGGTCTTCTCAAGAACACAAATAACAAGCTCTCCACCCGCCAGCCGCGACATTTGCCAAAACGGCCAAATACATTCTCAAGAAGGTTGAAATCTACCAAACAGCCTAACTGTAAAGGCGTCCTACACTACAAATCCTAGCATGCCCAGCAACCCAACGTCCGCTTGCATTTGGCGCGCTGCCCTCTGGGAAGCGTAGTCCGTTTTCGTTGCGGTCCCGACTAACGCCAGAGCCCTCTTTATTGTTCAAGCGGGTCTTTGGAGCACGCCTGCGCAATAGGCAGCTGGAGAAGGCTTTGGGTGAGACCCTCCGCACAGCCCCTTTTCATTGTCTGCGTTTGGCGCCTGCGCAGTTGGAGATCGTTGGGACTGGGCCGACCGAGGGGATAGGGCCCGGCTCCTCGCCCATTCCTCAGGCGCCTGCGCACTGGGCGGCCGCTCTTTGCCGTTACCGCTATGTGCGGGGCGTGTGTGGAATAACGTTATTGCCCAGCGGAGCACAGGGCCGGGAGCTCGACCGCGGCGGCAGCGACGACGACGACGACAGCGGCGACGACGACGACGACGGGGTGGGGGCAGGACGGCGTGCGAGAGACTGACGGGACGCGACGCGCCCCGCCTCCCCCGTCCGGTCCCTCTCTCAGCGGTGAGGGGTAAGTGATGCGCTCAGCTGTTCGGTCGGGTTAGGCGCCGCCGCCGCCGCCGCCGCCGCCGCCGCCGCCTCCCCACATCCTCCGGGGTTTGCAGCGGGGGCTCAGGGCGCGGCCTGCCGGGGCCGGGAGTGCCGGGCCGGGCGGCGGAGGGGGCGCTTCCCGGCGGCTCCGCGCGGCGCCCCCCCCCCCCCGCACCCCAGCCGGGGCTCGTCCGGGCCTCCCCCCCCTCCCCTCCCCCACTCGGCCCCCGCCCCTCCCCCGCCCCCTCCTCGCTGCCCCTCCGGGCCGGTGGTCGCTGCCTCTTCCCGAGGACTTCTTGAATCCTTTTCAGCCCTCTCTCGGCTTTGTGCAGCCCTCCCCCCTGCGCTGTGGCAGCTCGCGAGGGGGTGCGGGCGGAGCATTGGACGGAATGGCTGCGCTGGCGCCGGCGCTGGCGCTGGCGCTGGGGGAGGGATTTTTTTTCCCCCCCGGGTCGGAGCAGCTAACCGTGCCGGGCCTTTTTGTGAGGTTGGTTTGCGGAGGTGGGGTGGCTTGGGGGAGGTCAGGCCGGGCGCCCTCTGGACGCGGTTGGAGGGCGTGGAAGACGTGGTGTGGGTGTCACGCACTGTGCCAGGCGACTGCCCCCGCGCAGGCTCCGGCTCCGTAGTAAACCCAGGGGAGGAGAGAGCGGCTTCCTGTCGGCTTCATTGTCCGAAGATTCAAATGTGGGGTTTGGGTATGCTTCCCTTGGTTTCGTGCCTGACACTAGGCGGGAAGACGTGGGATTTGTGTCCTAAGTTAAGAGAAGCGCCGGGGCTGGGGACGGGGGGCTGGGAGGGAGGGAGGGAGGGAGGGAGGGAGGGAGGGAGGTGTTTTAGTAGAGCTTTAGGTATTTGCTTGAAGGATGTAAGCCCCTGGAAGACAGGTACAGCGCCTGTCCCAGCACTGCCAGGGCGAGCCGTATGAAATTACTGGAGAGCGACGAAAGATCGTCCTTAGAAAGGGCCCGACGACGAGGCTGTTCTGTGGCAGGGAAATGAACCAGCAGAATTGTTTTTTCATTGGGTGGGTAACGCTTTCACGTTCCTGAGGGAATAGATTGGGCTACATCTTTCCGGTTTTTGTTTTTTTGGTTTTTTTTTTTTTTTTAAGCAGTCAAAACAACAACAACAACAACAACAAAAAACAGGCCTGGTACATTTCTATTCCTGATTTTGTTTATTCATACTTTCATTCTCTTAGTGAAATTCCACCCTATTTGGGAGAAATGTGGTGGTGCAGATGATCGTTGATTCGAAATGCATCTTTTAAAATGATTTCATCTTAAGCTTTCAATGCTTAAAACCGTTTGCTGGCACTAAAACAAGCGGAAGAAAGAATAAGCAGGATGGGGAGGAGCAGGTGGAGGAATAATGGGAGAGGAGGGAGTTACATTGTGAATACTGCATCTAGAGCTTCACTGATGCAATCCTAGCTGGATATGCTTCAAAAATTTAGTGATTCAGTTCTGGAAATACTACATTGCAAGTACAAATAATTTCGGGTTATTTTTTTCTGCCGTTATTTTGTCTTAAAAAGTAAAACCAGAGCTGTTTTTGTCCTTCCCAACTTTGTAGATGTTGTAGGATTTTGGTGTTTTAAAAGTCAAGAATCTAAGTGCACTTGACACGGAGGAAGACGCTAAAACTTGGGAAGTTAACTGAATTATCTGTCCAAGCCTAAATGCTAATGGAAAGGCAGAGGCAAATAAAACCAAGATCTGTTCTTGCACTGCGCTCTTTTGGTTTTTTCACTTAGTCCTCCTCGCCTGAGAAAACTTAAGGAAAGCTTCTCTACGTGCTCCTTGAGTTTCTTTAGCTATCAAGTTCATTGATACTAGTTGTATTAATCTAGTCCTTTTTCCTTGTGATGCAAAAATAATTCTCCTGAAGTGGAGTTTTAGTTTTATAAATTAACTTATAAGGAAAGATGCCCTAAAATGAGCTTTTCATAAAAACAAACTCTTGGAAGTTTTTCCCTATTAGTAAGCATATTTTAATATTTCCTGATATTCAGTAGTATTTTATAGTATGAATTCTATAAGCTTGGTTAAAAATAAAATTGCCATGTAACAGGAAGCTGTGAAGTTCATTTTTCTTCAATTAATGAATTATTTTCAGCTTAGCTTTTGAGGAAAAAAAATCTGTTGAACTTTTTATCAAAATTTACCTTTTTTTTTTCATTGAGTTGCTTTGGACATAAAGTGCTTTTTTTATTGCTTTATAACCTTACCCTTTAATTCTACATTGCATTTTAATAGAGTTTTTAAAAATTTATTAATAGCCCCTTCTAAATCTTAGCTTACTTAAAAAATAATCTAGCTAACTTCAGCCTGTGAAATTATATTAAACCAAACGTTAAATGTATTTTACTGGTTAATTTTGCTCTTCGCATTTACTTTGTATGGAAATAAATAGCCATCTGCATGTTTTCTGTCCTAGCATTAGAATAATGAAATTTACGCTATAAAGTCATCATACATTATGCCCATTAATGCAAATATCAAAATGTTTTTAAAAACTCTATGCTTAGTGATTTATTTATTCTAAGTATTAGTTTATTTCCTTTTATCACTGAAGAAAAACCTAGTTTTATTGTTGCATTTGTAACCAGGTATCATTCACCTAGTACTGAATACTGTGTATGTTTAAACTTGTTAATTTTTTTTATTGCAACAAAATTATATTCCTATAAAGTAATTTTTACTATTTTAATTAATCTGTAATGATTGATTTCTGTTCTCTGTCGTGAACAATGGGGTTTTAAGCTTTCCCATTTTAATAAATATTTAACAGCAGTGTACTAAATTGCCAACTGAAATATCTGTATAGTTGCAAATTATTATGGAAGTATAACAGAAGAGCAATTAGATACCATCTGAAAAATCCTTGGTGGATAGATAATGTGGAGGAGAATGTTAAGTGTTGCTGTGTTTCAGTAAGAAATGAATTTGTTCTTATGGGGAGAAACTTCAGACCATCTTCATTTTATAAACTTTTGTTAGTAACTAAGATTTCCAACAATCAACTACCCTTGGTGAGATGGGATTTAATTTATTTTCTTAAATATTTTTTAAGGGAAGTGCTCAGCAGTGAGTTAGTGTGGACAATACAAAAGAGTAAGAAGACATCTGTCTGGTAGTAGAGTTGATTATATTAGACATATAGTCTAGTTTAGTTGAGTGATTATGCAACAGTATATCTATATTATAATTTGGGCTTTTATGGCCAAAATAAATGACATAGTTTGTATATACTGAACGTAAAGAAAGCCCTCTTTTATGTCAAACAAAGGTAGAAAGGAAACAAAAGCAAGGTTAAAGAAAACCTTACAAAAATTACTTACATACAAATAGGGATTATACAAAACATAAAAGTGGAAAAGAATCTCAAGCATGCATTGCTTAGGTTTGAGAAACGATATGAGACATAGAGAATAACTCATTATTTGAATATATCTATAAGTGCTAAGTATTATGGAACATATTACCCTTTGGGACATAATATTTATTGAATCAATGACTAATACGTACCACACGTTGAAACCTACTATGTGTCAGGCAGCATGTGTGTGTGTGTAACAGTCCTGTGTATAAGGTATAAATGCAACAGTCTTGTACATGGTATAAATTTACACATTTAAATTTGAGAATATTTGAAGCCCAGAGTTAGTGAATAATTTTACTTCTGTGTCAGACATTACTAAGTAGTAGAACCTATAACTAAATCTTTGTCTTTTTTGACAAAACCCCAAATTCTTTCCACTCATCATTTTTGGTAAATTAAAAAAGCAAAATGTACTCTTTTCTGATTCACAAAATTTTAGAACTACAGGAGATTTTATTTAGAGTCATCTGGTATAGTGTGCCTTCTACTACTACTCATATCCTTGAGATCTTATCAAGTCCAGCTTTTCCAAGAACAGCACTTCCATAAACAAAGAGGCATAGGATGTCTCATTTAGCTTTTGGAAAGTATAATAGAAAGATCTTAATTAAGTTGAGCTACTGTCTGTCTTACTTCTCCCCATTGGTTACAATTCTGTCTTAAGAGTAAGATTCAGTAAAGTATTTCTTTGCTAGGTTTTCTCTTTCCTAAATTAAATATATAACTCTTACAACTTCATGATATTGTTTCCTTTACCTTTCTCATCTCGTCAACTAGATTGTTTTGTCAGTGTTGCTCTTTTTGTTCTAATCTTATTAAGTTTTTATATTTAATTCGATAATTATGGTCTGAATGTAGTGTAGTGAAATTATCCCTTTCCTTAATTCAAGCTATACACTTGTGTTTACAGTCTAAAATTGTGTTAACTCTTTAACAGCGGTGATATCTTTGCTAGTTCTAAGCAAAAAAGAAATGAGGAAAAGTTATATGGCTTTTCAGGTTACAGGCATGCAATTCAAGGGACTTGAGTGTCTGTATTTCTACTTTTCTAATGTTAAAATGACCTCTTTATGAAATGATAGTGTTAGTATGTAGTAATTTCTTGTAATATTTGCTTTGGGTTTTTTTGTATTGGTTTGGTTCTTAGATGAACAGTAAAAGGTTGGCAAACTTATGTTGTTTTTCATTTTTTAAAAAATCTGTTTAGAAACCACTGATATAGTCAACATAAGCTAGTGTCTGTCTTAAGATTTTTCCCATTCTGTAAGTACACATACATGATTTTTTGAAGCACTGTTTAACTTTATCCCTTTCAGATAGTATCTCCTTGAATATACCTATAGTTAAAACTTATTGAAGTCTTCACAAATCATTATACTGTCATCCAAGGGATTCGCTTTCCTTCCTGTCTTATAGACATTTATAGATTTAACAAGCCAGCCCTTTTATGTCTTTGTCCTGGCCATGTACTAGATATAGACAAGGACAAAGCCATGCAGATTTATAAATAGAGTAAATGTAACATAAATAAAATATACTTGAGATGATACAAAGATAATGAAAACCATTTGAATGTTTTTTGTTTTTAATTAAGGA